TCGATTACAAAACGGTGGCGTGTGTGAACATTCTGTAATCTCCACTTGAAACGATATCGTGAAAACGAACTCGAAGATACTCGTATCGACAATGAAAAAAATGTAAGTTGACATTGTGTTACGTATACAAGTTCGGTTTGTCGGAATTTGGCCGGCAAAGCCCATTCAAGATGGTTCGAATTTCTGGAGATCTTTTACGCGTGTCATGTTTGGAAAACGTTTGAAAACACTTTATCAGTATTGCAACGAAATCCGATTATCACGATCATATTGTAAAATTCAATACAATTTCGAGATCTACTTTGTTTCACAGATTATTGATTGACTGTAACTTTTGAAGACTTATCGACGTATTTGAACTGACCAATCGTGTGCTAATTTTTTTTTTTATTAAATATACACTTGCAGTTAATATCTTGCTGTTTCTATTTGAAATCACATGTCTCAAATTGATGTAAAATTTATAATAACTAGTAGACAATAATTCTTGAATGCTTTATCATCGAGTGAGTAATAGAAATATGTTATGTTCAATCTTGAACAAGCTCTAAAAGAGCTGAAACGATTTACGTCGAGTTAAACAGGGATGTTGTATTTGTTAATAAGATCGATAGTCTACTTAGATGAACGAAGACGTAATTTAGTAGAAAAGTGACGAAGACAAATTCGAGGGAAATCGTTTGAAACGATCGAGGATTAAGTTCGCGTGTACCGCGGATTTCGATAGGATTTCACGTGCACTTTCAATCACATCAGTATTATCTTCGCATTTGGGTTTTTCAGAAAGCTTTGATAGGATCGACTGGAATATCTTTGCGATATATACGTTCTTCTTTTTATTCAATATATTCTCAACGTAATGCAGCGTGTGACGATGACATAGTTGATCATTCCAAATTTCATTGAATACAGTTTTCTTTGTTTTCTTTTTCTTTAATTTTTCTTCGTTTCTCCCAGTCCAAGCTTCATTCAGTTCCACAGCTTGTAGTTATCACACTATTCGTCACGTTCCGAAATATATATTCTCAGGTCGAATTTCTCACAATAGTTAGATTCTGGAGCAAGCTGTTCCTCCACTCGCAGGTTCGCCGCCGAACAGTGCAAACAAAATTCACGCGAATTCGGAAAATTTCAGCTCAGAACAAACAGAACCGCCGGTTAGATAACGGCCGTTCCCGAGCTTCGTTTGCACAACGTTTGCAATAAAACGAAGATGTCCTACATATTACACGTACGATATGCGCATACATGTAATTGCCCTAGTTTGCAGAAATACAATATAAGATTTAAGACGCGGGGCGAGGGAGGGAGGGGAGAACTACGTAGACAATTATGTGGATAATGGAACGTGTCTCTGGCTAATAGTGTCGTCTCGTGATGTCTGCTTTTTAACGGGATAGTCATTTTCAAAGAAGCATAAAATAGGAGGCTAGGGCTTCTTCAAGTGGGTTATTAGCCCCGTTTCCCTTCCTATTCTTACGTCCTCTCTATCGCACTAAATTCGCACTCGCACACGATATCAAAGTTTCGCCTTTCGTTTCTTATGTCATTAAGGTTGGCATAACGACGTCGTAAAATCGACTGGCTATAAAGGTTCGTGAATTTCGGAGTGTCGATGTATTTCGCTATCTCTTACGTTCAGTATCTCTTACGTAAGAATGAGTTGTCGAAGATGGTGAAAAAAAAAGAAAAAAAAAAATTTTTTTTTGAAAGCTAACAAGGGCGATGAAAATATTTACGAAGGATTATCATTTCTTACTTCGATGTTTTATTGTAATTTAATCGATAATTGTTTCATTAATCTAATTTTAACGCCGACCGGCCAAAAATAATTAACGTGAAATAGTCGAAATGGTGAGTTTCGCAATTTTTAGAAGAGAAAAAAATTGATAGTACTTGTACAACGCTAGCTTTAAGTGTTTTACGAGACAATTTTAAAAGACTGGATATAATCTTGAAACCAGGTCGAAAGAGAACTCGAATGAAAGGAGCATTTTAAAATTATTTTTCTATAAAAAAAAAAAAAAAAAAAAAAAAGTGTAAATCTGACTTGTCGCAATCAATCGATTAGAAAAAAAAGAAGGAAAAACTGACGTAAATGCTCGCATGCGTGCGGAATACGTATAACCCTAGCTGCAGTTAGATCAATTAGCGACCCCGCTTAACGCCTTGCTTTACGACCTCCCTATATCGTTTTCCACCTAGTGCACATTTAGTTGAATGTTCTCCGTTGAGAAAACCTTGGCCTACCTGCAGTTAGATCGTACGTTGTGATCGTACATTGACCAGAAAGCATTATTAGAAGTCGGCCGAAGTGATCGACGATGTGTACGAATAGGCTCGCGAAAAGCTTCTTTCGAAAAATACATCTCCAGTTTAGGCTGATTGAAAATGCCTGTGCAAGCTAGTCCGACTGACACGGAAAGATACTACTGTGTCACGGCCTTGCCGAAGGTCAGGCCATTTCGTACGTTCGAACCTTTCACCTATTTCACCTATTTCACCGAACGTTTTTCCATTCTGTTCGTTTATTTCCTGATACGCAGCTCCACGGCAAATTTGTACGAAATCCATAAATTCTGAGATCATTCCCGGTTTCGTGCTAATGGAATTTATCATACTAATCTCCCACTGGTCTGCTACTGATCTTTC